TACTACTAGTGGCTGATGATCCGAATCTATTTTCTCCTCCACCTTTATCCTTCTCACTCCTTTTCTCGTCTCTCTATCCCCTATCACATAGTCTATTACTGTTCCTCCCTTTCCTCCCGTAAACGTCCACTCCCCTTCCTCATCTCCCTCCACGTTACCATTCATTATCGACCATCCCATTTCCTCTAAAAAACCACATAGCTTCCTCCCCTCTCTATTGATCTTCTTATCTCTCGACCTCCTTTTTCTCTCCTCTTCCTCCACTTCCCCCCCTTCTCCTACAACTCCTCCTCTATTTCCTGTCCTCGCGTTAAAATCTCCCCCTATCAGCACTCTCTCCCCTTGCTCTCCATTTTCCATCCACTCTCTCAATTTCTCTATCTTTCTATCCAGGTCTTTATTTACATATATTCCCACTATCCTCCACCACTCTTTTCCCAGTTTAGCCTTCATACTCATCATTCCTTCTTCCTCATCCTCTTCTACTTCCCCTTCTATCTCTATTTCCTCCCTTCTTCCCATTACTATCCCTCCTCTCGCTCTTCCTTTTTTATTCTTTTTCCCCGCCTCTTGCATATCCCATCTATATCCTCTTGGCAACCACCTTTTTATCTTCTCCCAGTCTTTCCTCTGCACCCATGTTTCACTCATATATATAATATCCCAACTTCTTATTCCCTCCCAGAAATCTTTATCTTTATTCTTCAATCCTGCCACGTTCCAGAAACCTACTTTGTATTCTTCTTTTCTCTTACCTTCCCCTTCCCCTCTCTTTTTCTTTTTCTCTTTCTTTTGCTTATCTCTTCTCTTTTCTTTTTTTTCTCCCCCTTCCTCCCCCCTTCTCCTATTCTTTTCTAGAAAAACCGATTCTCCTCCCTTTCTTCCCTACTTCCTGTTTCCTGCCCCTTTATCAACTCGTCCTTTTCCTCATCCCATCTCCATAGTTTCCCCTCCACCCATAATTTCATGTACCCCACCCTTACCCTTAATCCTTCCCTTCTTTTCCTTTCCGCTTCTCTCCTAATCTTCCACTCCACTCTCCTTTCCTTTTCCGTCATGTCGTCTTTTATCCATTCATTTCTTTCCCTTAAGTTCTTCTTCCCTTTCATCACCTCAATTTTCTCTCCTACGCTCGCAAACCTGACCATTACTATCTCTTTGCCTTCTTCATTTTTTCTCCCTACCCTCTTTACTTCCTCTATCCTTACTTTCGCTCCTGTTCCCTTCACTATCTCTTCTACCTCCTCTCTTAATCCTTCCCACCCCTCTTTTTTCGTCTTCACCCCTTTTATTATTACATTTCTCTTTCTCTCTTCTCTTTCCTTTTTCTCTCCATCTATTTCCATCTTCTTCACCCTTTCTCCTATCTCTTCCCATCTCCTGTCTTTCTTTTCCCC